TCAGGGATAAAAATTAAGGTGGATCGAGAGGTCCCTGTTTTTACTAGGACACGAACCTCCTCTCAGTCCAGACCCACTTTAAAAGTTAACAAAGGCTCCAGGTTGGTGGGTTCCTGGTACAATGAGAGCCTTTGACACCCCTAACAATCCATTTCCCTTATCTTCTGGACTTCCTCTTCTTGAGAGTCCAGCTGTTTTTACAGACACTGCCGTTTTCACTGTCCCTCTGCCCTGCAGACAGTACCACAGATTTTTCCCAACCGCTGTTTGGGTTGGGTCTCCCCTGCTGGGGAGAGAACGCCTCTGCCACTTCCTTGTGGCCGACCCGACCCCGTCCCCTCTGTCCCAGGGGACCCTTTGGGCCCTGCGGTTTTTCCCTCTTGGGACGGAAAAATTCTGCCATCACCTTCACCTTTCCTCCTTGTGCTCGCTCTATTTACCACACACCGTATACCAGACCTAATCCTTATTTTGCCGCATTGTCCAAACAGCTCCTTCCCCCCAGGGTTCCTGGCGGGCATGGCCGGCAGCACCACAGGCGGCCGGGGCGTCCTGCAGCCTCACAGGGCCAGCGGCCACTGCTGCCTCTGCCTGGGGCTGGCGGGGTCAGGCACTGCCTGGCGCTGAGTCCCAACAGCCCCACAGGCCCCCAGCCCATGCTCCCAATCCCGCACCTCCGTGCTTGGTCCTTGCCTCAACCGTATCTCTCCACACTCCCCTTTAACCAATTCTGTTCCAACACGCCAACACGATCTGTCCTTCCCCTTTTGTCAAGACTCCTTCTTGACTCCCCTTATTTCCCCCCCGGTCATGGATCCTTAAGACTCCTTCTCAGCTTCCCTTATTGCCCCACCCTGGGCATGGAGTGTCAAGACCCCTTCTTGATTTTCCCTTATTGCTCCCTTTGGGTGTCTGTATCCTTAATTACCTCTGGGAGAGTGTGTAAACCAACTGCACATTCTTCCAAGGGATTCTTTGGAGATATTTTCATATCATTTCATCATCCCTTTTGCCAGGGCCCCTTCCCAGCTGTACCCTTGCAACCCTCCATGGGTGCTTTGTTTTACCTGTGCTACCCTCCATGGGTGCCCTCCCAGGTTTATCTGTGCTACCCTCCATGGTTGCCTTGTTTTACCTGTGCTACCCTCCATGGGTGCCCTCCCAGGTTTGCTCCCTGAAGATCCCATTTTACTCACCGGTGAGATTTGAAGTGGTCCTTCCCTGTGGACTCTTCATGGATTCCCCTGGTCCACCACTCGTCTGTCTCCTGGACAGTCTCGGGAACCCAATCGATCGCCCGGTGCCAGCCGCCACCCAGGGGAGCTGATCACTGAAACTGGGTGAGGCACCTTCAGCACTGCTCACTGCCCGCTGGCCTGGACAGTGGAAATGTTCCAGAAAAAAGGCCCCATTTGTCAGAAAAATTAACCCACAAACGCCAGAGGTTTATGTCCAAAAAGGAGACAGAGGAGTCCTTTTACTTTATTTGAATAAAGGGAGATGCCATGGGGCATTCCCCTGGGGTCTCTCAAATTTTTGGAGGGCACAGCCTCCTTTTTATCCTAATTCCCAGCCGTATGTCCTTTCTCTCCTTCCCCATAGGCTGAGGTACTTGAGAGGTACAGACTTCCCAGGATGCCTGATATCTGAGACCACCCACCTCCACCCCCAATGCATAATGCCCTTCTTAATTCTTAACTCTTGTGGAATTTTATGGTGTTTCCTCAGCATCTCTTTTGTCTTTCAGTGGAATCCATCCCATTGTTCCTGTTATCTCTCAGTGATAGTTTCATCTTATCAGCTTGACCCACAGCTTGTTTGTAAAGACAAACCTGTCATTCCTCTCATCACCAATTTGTCCACTGTCTCAACTGCATTTCAAAAACATGGGCAGTAGATGTCCTGCTGTCCTGCTGTCAGCCTATTGGGATATAGAGTAGATGGGGTCGATTGAGAGATGTTGTAAAAGGTGTCTTATTGTAAAATCAATCTCATGGAAGGGTGAGACATTAAGGTTGTTACTTAAGCGCAATCACATCAGAAGCTGTCTTAATTCTAGTCATAACGCCTTTTATAAATTTCTTAGCCAATCAATAACTTTTACAAAGCTTGTTAGCATCTTCATAAACCAGTCATTAATTGCTTCATCTTACACGATTCTACCACAAAGTGTCTTTTTTCATCCAATCATATAACACTACAGAAACTTACATTGCTGTATCTTTAATTTCTAAGTAACTTTATAACAAGTTCTATTGCTAAACTTTAAAATTTTCTGTCTTGCTTAACATATTTGTTCGCTTTCATGATGCGTATTTCTGCTTGCTTAAAACATATTTCTGCTTAAACTACAAACTTCTGTTCTTACTCCATGTCTGTTCCACTTTATTGCTTCAAGCCTTCTCCAAGGTCTCAGGTCAAACATTGTATCCATCTCTATCTCTGAGCTTGTATGTTGAAGCCTTAGAGAGCTTTCTGTGCCTGCATTTCCCATATGAGCCTTTCCAGTGCTTTATGTAGAAAGCAAATCATCTGGCTACTAGCTCTCCAATGGTGCATTGAAAAGTTTTCTTGGCTGATGGCATTGTACTGCAGCTTTTAAAGGTAGTTAGTTTTCAGCCCTTCTCTGGGATAACAAAGCCATTGGGAGTGGCTGCCTTGCACAATGCATTAACGCTGAGTTTCCAGCCTGGGATTTTCCAGTCTCTTCAGTTGTTCTTAGAGTAGGAATACAGTGTATTAGCCAGTGTTTCAGTATGTGCCTGAACAGTGATTGCATGGTGGTGGCTGCTGCATTCAGGTAGCACTCACCTTGTGGCAGTAATATTTGTAAGTGCAGCTGCCTTATTCCTGCATTCACAGGAATAAGACAGAGCTGTCCATACAGTTCCACCAGCAACTTCTGGGCCAGTGCACTTATATTAGTCAATCCTGTCTAGGTAGGGCTGAAGCATGGACAGATAATTTAATTTTCCCTTCTATCTGTCACTACATGATAGTCTCAAATGAGTTATCAGTGTGGAAACCAGAATGAAAGACAAGGGAGGCCCATTCAAGGACAGAGATTGGTGCAGTCCAGTGCCCAGGAATTCAGAGTGCATTAACAGAAACCGTTGCGTTTGATCCCAAAGCCCAAGTAAAAGGTTATTTAGCTGTTGTAAATACAGTTGCTGTTATGATGAATGACAGTAAGTGGCTTTCAGTCTTAGGTTATTACCTGGGAAAGACAAGCCTTTGAAAGAAATTGGCCAAGAGACAACACTCCTGTTTAATGCCTTTTTTAAGATTCAGCTCTTGGGGTGGGGGTTCTAAGGAGTTGCTTGCACCATGGCCGTTCCCACACTGGCAGCTCCAAGGAGGAGGCACAATTCAGCTTTGCAGCACACACTGCACAGCTGGGGTTTCTATCCTCATGAGAGTAGCCAGGAGGCCTGTTGTTCTGGCTTGTTGTCTGGGGGGGGG